AAAGAAGTAGCTTGCAGTTGTTTATACCGAATAAAGGAGTTTGAGAACAATAGGAGTTCGAGCTGCACTAACTCCAGTTAATGGAAATAAACGTCTTTAGCCGGCGATAAGAAATACTTGTGTAATTCCTGGAGACAGTAGCGTGCAAACACATTTTGAGTGATTCAACCTAAACTTAAGAAGATCTTTTGGTGTCGAACGAAACCTAATTTAGAATAAGAAAGTTTAATTCAACGGTTTTGCGCTGTTAGGTTAATTCAAACCAATTTTATTCTCTTCATATTGTAAAAATTTCTATCGTTAGAAGAGTTATAATTGTTGCTTGGGATTTCTTCGAACAAACAAAAATATAACTAAGTCAACCTTAGATGTATAAACGAGATTGTGGTCGATGAATATCAGCTGCATTACGATAATATTAATCCTAAGCGGGATCTTGCTTTTGAAGAAAATAAGCTATAAACTGTGGTCCCCTTTCTGAACATAAAGTCGTAAATTCGTAACTTCTGCCGTGGAACTGTTATCGTCCTAGTTTTTATGCGTTGGTGTGCTAACCAAATAGTGTAATCAAAATATGGAGAAAGCAATTAAATATTTATTCACATATTATTAAGATGAGGAAATCCAAAGAAAGGATTGGAGTTCAAAGTAATTGAGAGGACTAATGTAATTTGCTTTTTTATACCCTTTTTTGTCTAAGCTTCAATTTTTTCAGTAGTTTAACCAGGATCACCAAATGGACTAGTAGGAAAACTAACAACTATATTTTATCCTCAGTCTCCTAAAGGTGTGAAAAACGCTCAACTGAATCCAAAATGTTGCCTAAGAACAATTATACCTTTGTAATCCACTAAAACCATACGAACGTATTATTATGTGTGTATCATTTTTTAAAGTTGATTATTTTAGAGTTATACCTTATGCACACATAATCAGAGCACAATTGTTTATTTTGGAGTAGAGAGTAGACTCGAGAGTAGAAACATTAATTTCGGAAACCAGTCATAAATACATGTTACAATATGTAAAAACGCGAATGATAAAAAATGGTGTCCTGATTTGCTTACCAAACTTAACTTTATTTACTATACTGTAAAATTCCTTGAAATATTATTTGTTCGTTTTTCTATTCCCTACTCTAAAATACCCAATTACGCAATGATTAGGAGTGCACAAAGTGTCATTTAAATATCAGGGTCGTTAAACACTGTCACAGGTTTTGGGAGAAATAGAACGTTTTCGGTTGATTTCGGACATTGATGGTATTTTCATGATCGTTAGTTCTAATGGTCACTTCCCACGTCACTCAGTGAGTGCAAAATATTTAGTGCTCAATATTTCCATTGGTTTGTAGACTGATGAATAGATTAAAATGTTAGAATGTTAGAGCGTACTTTTTTAATTTTACTTTTAATAGATATTAATTTTATAGATTTTAATAGATTTTAACGGATACTTAACAATAATGATTCAAGTCTGTCTTGCACTTTATTTGCTTGTTATCGGTGTGATAAATATAGAGGACAGAATGGACAGGGTATGAATATACTCTTTCACGACAGAATATGAAAATGGCCGCTATTTAGCAGCTGCTTTTGGAGCTAACATAATAATCCACTTTGTCAAAAAATAGAATATTATGTAACAAATTTTGTAAATGACCCCTTAGAGTGTCTGAAAACGTTTATAAACGTATTGCATACTACACTCTTTCTACGACAATCACATTTTCACAAAAACTGCACGAATAGATTCACTGAATGACGTGATGAATGCCATAATAGAAACATAACGATCAGAATTGATAAATATATCGAAAACATCCGATCACTCCCAAACCAGTAGCCAAAGTACCGGAAACATCCTAAAGGATAGTGACAAGACTGATCAGTGCATAATCGGGCATATTAAGTGAAGGAAATAGAAAAATTTACTAAATACCAATTATGCAACGAATTTACTTGACAATATGTGGGGCTCAACGTAAATCAGTCTGCATTTTCGCATGTCTATTAATAAGGGCGAACGAACGTGGCTAAGAAATTATTTTAAAAACATGTGTCGTTTCCCAATTCATATTAAATTTTAATAAATTTGGTTTCGTTTAGGATAAAATGTTGGACAAATGTGATATTGGCGGACGGTCCCTAATTGGTATTTCGTTTTCTAAATTGATATTTTTTTACAGTTTTCGGTATGTAAAATTCCTCCTAAATCGTAAATGCGGACAGAGAGTTACAGAAAAACATTTTCCCCGTCTCTGCCAAGAAAGGCATTTCCATTTCAAATCGTTCGCCGGTGCCTCGTAAACAAATTGCACAATTCCGTATAATTATAGTCAAAATATTAATAAAATAAATTGCTCTATAACACAGTTAAAATACCAGTGCGGCGTTCAAAAGGATCGACCGTAACTAATGTTTACTAATTGCTAGCCAAGTTTCTCGCAACCAACAGAAACAGTCGGTGCAAGTCGTTTCATTTTCCTTGTTAGCAAACTTGCAAATTGGAGATTTTTGAATAAAAGGTAAGTTTTCGCAGTCGCGTTGCTATCGTTACGCGAGGCGGTTCTTTGAGCCGACAATTAAAATGGCTGACGGAAGCGTACAACTTATAACGAACGTTCACTTGATCGGGCATCGAACCGTGTGTGTTATGCATTCGGAGTCCAATTATGTTGCTACATTCTTTATTTTAACGCAACACTTTGTATGGAGTTAGCAAACAAGCACGCCAATCAGTGGCTTTCATCCAAACGCCTGAAACAACCTTTATTCATTTATACTCTGCAGCAAAACGAAATTTGTCATATCACATCCCATTGACACATTAGTATTTTTATGTAGGAGCGTTTAGTTTACACAGTGGATGTCGAATTTACCCAAAAAAAATGTTAATTCAAAGTTTAGTTGATTCAAACACATTTTACGAATTGTGTGGTTTTAACACCATTTTGGGCAATTAAAGATGATTGATTCGAAAGCTCTACAATTTTGTGAATACTACTACTACCAGTTGGTGCTACCTTGACACAAGTCCACCGAAACTGAGACGTCTCGATAGCCAATTCCTTGCGCATCCGCCATAGATAATATTTTTTATTTGGATTTTTTTTACTACATTTAACGCATTTGAAAATATAATAAAGAACCATGGATAACTTTAACAAAATAAATATTCGCAAAGTTCCTTAAATGATACCTATCAATTAACCTTTTGAAAAACGATGTTTCTCTAGGCTGGTATGTTTCGCATTCACTTTTTATGCAATACAATATGAACGGTGTTTGTTGATCATCGGTAAAAAGCATCGGAACCGAAAAAAAAATCAAATTATCGCATTTTCCGCGTTCGCGAGGCAAATTTTTATCTCGCAAAACTAAATTAAAACGAAAATTGGGTCTTTCGCCCGTTCGTACAATGCAACTAGGTCGCAGTCTCTTAAATCAACACCGACGAAATTTAAAATAAACTTAATAGAATTTCATTCGGCGCTCTTTTGTGTATATGAAATTGGTATTTCATTTTTTTATTTCGAAAGAAGAAACGTAGATTCCGGACCCCTATCGAAAGTCCCGGATCAACCCTATTTAACCACACGGATACTTAACGATAATGATTCAAGTCTGTGTTGCACTTTACTTGCTTGTTATGGGGGTGGTAAACATAGAGGGCAGAATGGATACGCTATGAATATAGCTCCTTACATGGCAGTCCATACTGTCGTGTTCAATTGCCTTGCTAAACAAAATTAAACTCTTCCATTAACGCATGGCCTATTCAAAATATAAGTGGCCACCGTATAACAGTATAATAACCAAATTTGTCAAAGAATAGAATATTATGTAACAAATTTTGTAAATGACATTTTAGTCACGAGTACCTGAAGACGTTTATAAACGTATTGCATACTACACTCTTTCTACGACCATCAAATTTCCGCAAAAACTGCACGAATAGATTCACCGAGTGATGTTATGAATGCCAGAATAGAAACAAAACGATCAGAATTGACAAATATATCGAAAACATCCGATCACCCCCAAAACCGTAGGCAAAGTACCGGAAACGTCCGGAAGGATAGTGTTTAATGAAGCTGATGTTTTAAAGTGCAAACATAAGAGTGATCAGTGCATAATTTGGCATATTGAGGGAAGCGTATAGGAAAATTTACTAAATACTAACTATGAAACGAATCTACTTAACAATACGTGAGGTCTATTGATAATGACAGACAGATATTACATACCACCGTAAGATAAATCTAGTCTTGAGATTTGGCGTCTCACTTTATCTGATAAAGATAAATTTCAGTCACGCTGCTCGTCACAGACAGATTATGATAAGGTGAAACTTTCGCAATTTTGCGTCGAGAAAACAAAAATTACTTGCCTACATCCTTGAGAAAGCTCATATTCGTAAGTACCTTATATCGTGAGGAATAAAATACCATCGTCACACGTATTTATTTACATTTTACGTCTCTTCACAAAACGATACCGAATCTTGATTAATCTAATTTTGAATGCAAAGATACATTCTCTGTCACTTGGTAAATTGATAAAGCAATCACAGACTTGCATGGCTCTTATAATCGTTCTCAAAAATAGATATCTCTGAACTCCCTTACTTAAACTTACTATCTTCCTAGAAAATCTACAGGAATACCTAACCTCTATGTCAAAAGCTGAAAAAATACGGGGTGTTGAAATATTATGAAAAGAAAAATAGAAATAAATTTTTAGTGATAGCTCCTTCTCCAAATGTCATATGTCATATTAAATTTTAACAATTACTTACCAACAATTATATTTTTTCGCCAATCATCCTGTTGACTTCTACAGACAATGACTGATCAGTTTCAGTATAAGCCAACGGGATAATTGGCACTAGTTCCACTCAACAAAAACCGACGCAAGAGGAGTCCAGAAGTTTTATAAAAAGTATTACAGTAGCCTGTGGAAGTTTCTTTGAAAAATTATACATTAATATTGACTCAATAAAAATTATTACTTTCGATTTGTAAAACAGTGGATAGCGCAGCTCAAATGATGTCTTGTGTTAGTTACAAGTTAAAAGTGTAGCTACCCTCTAATGCATCTGACTATCTTTTAAACTTAGGTCTAATTTAAATTTAAAATTAATTTTTGTTCACAAAGGTTGCGAATGATAGGTACCTTCTAATTCATCTAATTATCTGTTAAATCTACGCCCCAATAACAGGTTCGGACCATCACTTGTTTTTCAATTACTCTCACTTAAATTGTCGCAGATCATTAGAGAACACCCTGTATACGATTACTTGAACCAAAGATTCTTGACGAACGAAAATTTCAGCGATTGTCTTTTGTGATGACACTGAACGCTCTACAATCGTTTAACTAGCATCGGTAATCCATTAACTGGGGTCATAAAAGGAGACTTTGGATTTAACACTATAGGCACTGGGGTTGATGAGCACTGCTGAACCTCAAATTGCCGCAGGATGTGGACCAAACCAATCTTGGCGCATACCAGACCGAACCTGGCTCCTGAAAAAGTTTTAGAACTTTCACAATTACTCAGTATTTCAAAAATAAATTGAAATTTCGCAGTCGAGACATTTTGAGACATTGATTTAACATCAATATCTACTTTATCATTAAAATTTTCAATTTCGATTCTATTCGATTACAAAAAAGCTCCATATTGGAACGATTTGCTTTCGATATACAGGGTCCCAGAGTTAACAGTTTATAATATCTGCGGTACATAATGAAGAATTTTTTTCTTTAGCTCACAGCAAACTCAAAAACTACATAATTAAAAACATTACGTTGGGTCGTGTTAACCATAAGCCTATGAATGATGAGGATTGCATTTACTAATACTCGCCTATACAATTTCTGGGCCCATTACCGAACGGCAGGTACACACAGGAATTAGATAAACTCTTCGTTCCATCGCGGAAGCGTTGCGGATCGAACTTGTCCGATTCCGGATAATATTTTTCATCGAAGTGGATACCATCGATCGGGATCAATATCGGAGTTCCCTTCTCGATCTTCAGGCCGGTCTCCTCAATTACGTAATCTTGTTTGCACTCCCTGTTTAGGAACGGGCCGAACGGATACCTTCGCAGCGTTTCTGTGACATAACGATTGAGTAAAATAAAAATCATCTAGAAATTCAAACTTACCGGCAAGCACCATGTCCAGATATTTCATTTGTTGTACTTTTTCGAACGTTATTTCGACGTCATCGGCCGGAAAATACCGGCAGATTTCTTCCCTGAGTTTATCCTGAATATCGGGTCTGAGGCACAATTCGTAAAGCGTGAACGCCAGCGCGTTGCTGGTCGTTTCGAAACCGGCGAGTAAAAACGTTATTGCCTGAGATACCATGCAGACAACGTCTGAAAATCATTGGAACTGTATAATACCGCTTGTTCCCTTGACACAGAATTAACGAAAAAAGTTTTAGTTTGGTAGTTTGGTTACTTAGACAACAAAAATCAAATCAAATAATCGTTTACATATATAGTTTTGGTTAGCGCCAAAATTTCCCGGCCTGAATATGAAAGAAACAAAGTAGAGTAACAACTTTTTATTATTTTTCAATATAATCCCCCTTAACTTGAATACCCTTATTACATCTCTTTATTAACAACTCAATCCCTTTAAAAAAATATTCTTTTGGTTCGTCTGCAAAATGAGCTAGAAGAGCCTCTTTTAAATCAACTTCGTCGTTAAACTGCAGCCCACGTAACTCCTTTTTCAAATGTCCAAACAAATAATAGTCGCTGGGGGCCATATCTGGACTATAGGGAGGATGATCTATCTGTTGGAACCCACACTCTAAAATAGCAACTTCTGCAACACCAGCAGTATCGTGCAAAAGACGCATACCTCTGGTCAGTTTTCCTGGACGTTTTACACGTATGCAGTCTCGCAATTTATGTAATAATGTTGCGTAATATTTACCATTGACAGTGGTATTAGTTTCTTTAAAATCTATCAAAAGAATTCGTTCACAATCCCACAAGATTGTGGCCATCACCTTTCTTGTTGACTGGCAACTCCATTGATTCTTTTTTGCATTTTCCCGTCACAATAGTTTCTATCACATACCGGTTCATGGTTCCAGCCCACACAGTTCCAAAAAAGACCGCGCACACTCGATACGGCGTTGTTTTTGAATAGCCGAAAGGCTTTTAGGAACCCATCTTGCACTAACCTTATGCATACCTAAACGATCATGCAGGATTCGACAAACACTTGTATCAGAAAGCTTAGTAATTTCTGAGATTTCCTTGACCTTTAAACGTCGATCACTCAATACCACCTCTTCCGTTATGACCTCCACTGGTCGACCAGTCCTTGAATCATCTTCAAGGGACTCCTGCCCCATTCGAAAACGTTTTGCCCATTCTTTCACTACAGAATACGAAGGAGAACTTTGGCCGTACACACCATCCAGCCTTTCTTTAATAATTTTAGGTGCTAACCCTTCCTTTGTCAAAAACTTTATGACTGCTCTATACTCAATTTGCGTTATTTGCGAAATTTTTTCGGACACGTCTTGTTTCAAATTCTGTCAATAAAAAACTATTTGACGCAAGCAATTTTTTTTCGCAGCCACTAAGATATGTATTTAAAAGAAGACAAAGTTTTATCGTGATACTGGAGCTGTATCTATGTCAGGCCGGGAAATTTTGGCGCTAACCTCGTATATGCCAGAGATCGTAAGAAAATAATCGAAATAATATAATAATAAAAATAATAAAATAGAAATAGAAACCCGGAGTGGCGGATTCTGGTGGCGAGCGAGGAGATATAGGGTTAGACTTCTCGTACATATTAGAAGATTGCACATAACACAGTGCTTAAAACAAACGAATAATCTAATCACTTGATTGATTATTAAAGGGAGCCCAACGATCCGCGGCCTGCTAGGGAAACTAGGGAAAATCGTCAACCGCTCATCGGCTATCGGAGCTACACTCGACTCGACTTATCCCGTGATTCGTTAATTCAAGACTGTCTTCCCCCGGGCCGCGTTCCGTTCACCTCGGAAAGATACCTAAGTGGGTTCCCATGGGTCGATAATATTCAGAATGACAGAATTATACTTGTTTAGTCTAGATCTATAAATAATACGAATCCAAAATAAACAATCCAAACACCCAGAACGAAATATTTGAAAATATCGACCACTTAAAGCTAAGGGCGCCGACACAGCCATACTGACTAGTGCACGTCCTCGGGCACCTGGTGGTCATCTAGACCTCGCAAGCTTTACCTTCAGTCGTCCATCCTGACTAACCAAGAAAAATAAAAAACGCGATGCAAATCTCAGTTGTTATTATTAACGATATAAAAAAAAATTACTAGGACACAAAAATCAGCTTACTTGCAACTTGCAATATAATGTCATTTGGCAAACCTATGAAAGCATCAGCCATCAAGAACCACTGGCGACACACCCCTCATCTGGTCACACTGTTTACCTTCATGTAAACCTAACCAGCCAACAACACACCTCTAGTAAGACTCATCTTACTGGATGAACCAAACTAGACAACACTATGCCTCTAGTTTTGGCAACAAACGCTCCTGCATTAACGCAATGCTTATCGCAACAATCACTTTCGGCGACACATGCCTCTCCACCAATGCAATGATTATCGAGATCAGCACCTACGGCGACACACGCCACATCTGGTCTCACCGTTTACCTTCATATAAACCATCCAGGCAACAACATACCTTCAGTAACTTACTGAGTAAACAAAACTAGGCAAACACATGCCTCCACCACATAAACCCTGTTAAGTAAAATACTTTCGAGACCGAGTAACTGGTAATGTGATTTTCTTCAAAAAGACTATCTGTTGGGATAAGTTTTATTCCTGTTAGAAATCATTTTAATAAGCCACTCTTGGAGAAATTCTACATCATTACAAAAATTCCGTATGTTAAATGACTTTGTACTAAAGACAAATAAAAAATAATTAAGTATTTTTTATCCAAAAAATCTTGTGAGCAAATTAATTTTGAGAGGAGCCCCTTAGTGCAGGTGTTAAATTCTTTACATATATATATATATATATATATATATATATATATATATATATATATATATATATATATATATATATATATATATATATATATATATATATATATATATATATATCTTTATCACTTATTCACTCTAATTTAAGATTTACGTCTTTCCACGACTCTCCTTTACAAACATACAACAAACGTCTACTTCTATAAATAAATGAAACACAGAATTCGTAATGGATTCTTTGAACGCTAAATAATTATATCAACTAGCCAGCAATATTCTCTTAACAAACTGTAGTCCTTACTTCCCGTTAGCATGTAGCCAAGAAAGATCACACCGCAGAGAAGTCGATCAATGGTATTGGTATTCTATAACTTCTTTTACCTGCGTGTTTGGAAAAACTTTTTTTTGAAACGCTATTTATACATTTCGCAAAATTCAAAATCAACAAAAATGAAAATCATCCATATTAAATAAACCCGAGAGATAAAAAACTAAAAAATTAAATCGTGACAAATCTTTTTGTAATTATTTTTTAATACAAAAACATTTTTAAAGTTCTTTTATGTTTCACTAGCTGGTTAAAGTTTTGTTAATATTCAATTCATAACCACAAGACCATAATAATAGTTAAGGGCATAAATTGACACTTATATTAATTCTCTGCTATTAAATAATTACAATTATATTATTAAAAGATAGGCTGACCTAAGTGGCAAATTACTTTCATGAAAAAATATCTAGAATGAGTTCAAAGACGAGCATACGCATTGGTAAAATCCATCACTTATTCAATTTTTTATTTATATTGAGAATGCATGTTATGTACGCTATGATTATAGTAACATGAAGACTCACCAATTTTTGTACTGCTATTCTTGTCCATCAACATGTCTCTAGCGTCAAACAGCAAATCAACAAAATCATTACGTTTCATGCCCGACTTCTCTCTTTCGGTCACGGTCTCCAAAAACACTTGTTTCAGGTAGTTGGTGTCAAACATTTTCAATTTAAAAAACGAAACCAGTTTTGGCGCGAAGAAATACGAAAACAAACACATCGCATGGTACAAATCGATATCGAACATTTTCTTGCAAATTTTCCGAAATTCGCTTTCCTTCCCGTGAACGAACGATTCAGCTTGGAAACCGAAAAAGCACGACGCTACCAAATCCGTCATGTACTTTCCGGATACTTCTTTGAATTCCAAAATTTGACCCTCGTGCCTATCCAAATATTTCTGCAGTTCTTCGGCTGTGTCACGCATAAGCGGAAACATGCCCTTTAACTTTCCAGATGTAAAAACGCAACTCAACTTGTTACGTAAATTCCTCCAGTCTGGATTCCGCAATACGAACAGACTGTTACCTGTCATGTCGTCCGCCTCCTTGTCACACGCAAACGTTCTGTTGTCAAAATTATTGAAATGTTTCACGGTAATGTCTTTAATTATTTCCGGATCGCGTATCACCAGGTATGGTTGTCCGACTATGAATATCCCGAAATAAGGCCCGTCGAATTTTTTGTACAGGTCCCCGAAGTGTTTACCTATTTGGCGTTTACCTTTGAACACGTCCAAGAGGCTACCGGCCAAGAAAATCGGTTCTTCGTACGGAACACCTCTAATTTTCCAATAATTGTGATTGTTAGTTAAATAGAGAAAGCAAACATAAAGTAATCCTGAAATTAATATCGCCGTTGTTACGTTCGGACAGAATCCCATGGGCAAAATCTGCAACACAAAATATGAACCGCGTTTTAAAGTGGTATCTTGTAATAGTAATATTTATATATATAATGATGATTCAGGTCAGCAAGTGCAAAATTTGCCAAGGACTTCGCCAAAAGTATTAAAAGTAAAAAAATATCATTTTTTTTATTTTGTTAATGATAATCTGTCTTTTTTGCGGTTTTTCCTAATTTTTACTCATTCGCAACTAACCAAATACAACCGGTGACATGTGACAGCTAAAAAGTAATTTGGTTTCTTTGCCTCTCGCAGTCTGTCAACAGCGTTAAGATTTGTTCAGAAATCGAAAATTTTCGTTTCTACTTTTAAAAATGTGACTCGGTTAAAATTTCCAAAAAAATGCAGTTTTACCACTCTCGGCAAAAAAAAATATAAATTTTATAAAACATGATAGCAGATAAGAATATCTTCAGGTTTCCAGATATTTAAGAAGAATCCGCCACTTTTGTTCGTCTGTTTTGAGTGTCCCACAGTTTAGTTTTTCTTAAGGAATAAATTAATTTTCATTTTCAGGAATTAATCGCTTATGCACTATGTTCATAAAAACACACTTTCAATAAATTTCAACAAAAAAAAAGTTAATGTATATAAAACCATTCAGATTGCTATTCGTTTGCGATCTTGGTTAATGACAAACAATTGACTAAGAACAACGGTTAAATACAGAAATAAGCAAACGATAATCAAAGGGAGAGTGATTTTCGGTGTTAATATACATATTTAGACGAATAGTATAAAATTTCCGAATCGTCGACCCCATAAAAAATTGATTGTTCATAAATCCAGTCCAAAACTCATCAATATCTTAATATCCAAGGATAGGTTGTTAATTTTTTGCTTCAAATTGCTAACTAAATATTCTTCCAGGCAGTCTTTACTAATATCTTTTTATTATAAATTCACTTACGTTCCTTCATTACCAGAAGAATATACCGTTCCTTACAAATAATTATTTCTTGATAGAAAAATGTTCCAGTCACTCTCAAATAAAGATCAGAATTAATTATAGGTACAGATATTTATTTTTACCCAAAAAAGCGTTTTAAAGTGGTATCTTGTAATAATAATATTTTTATATATAATGAGGATTCAACTCAGGTCAAAAATTGAAAAAGTTAACAAAGACCTCGCCAAAAGTATTAAAGGTAAAAAATATTATTTTTATTTTATTCTGTCAATATTTCTATGTATATGAAAAGCATTTATTTTGTAGAATAATCCCAAATTTGCCTTTTTTCCTAATTTTTATGCATTCAGAACTAACCAAATACAACTGGTGACATGTGACAGCTAAAATAGTTAATTTGTTTCTTTGCTTTCGATTTTTTTCAATCCTTCTAACGATCTAGTGTATTTTGTCCAGAAATCGAAAATGTTTCTAATTCGTTTATACTTTGAAAAGTGTCACTTGGTTACAATCCCCAAAGAAATGCAGTTTTGGCACTCTGCAAAAATAACTATAACCTTTATAAAATTTGATAGCAGATAAGAATATAAGAATGTTTTTTGTTTGTCTGTTTTGTGTCGCACAGTTTAGTTTTACTTAAGGAACATATACATTAATACACATTTTATGAAATTAATGGGTTTTGGACTGTGTTAATGAAAAATCATTTTTCTTCTTCAAGACAGTCCAAAACTCAACAATTCCTTAATTAAGACCAAAATTGCTAACTAAATATGCTTCCAAACATCCTTTACTAATATCTTTTTATCTTTTTATTATAAATCCAGTTACTTTCGTTCATGACTACGAGAATTTAGGGATAATATAGAATATTCAACGTTTTCTTTACATACTCTTCTTGCAAATAATTATTCCTTGATAGAAAAATGTTCCAGCCAAATAAAGATCAGAATGAATTATAGGTGCAGATATTTATTTTTACGCAAAAAACTATCATTGCTGTTAAACTTAAAATAATGCGGCCAACGAGCATCACTTAAAGAAGAATTAAATAACAATTATTATTCAACTTACCGGTACAATTCCTGTCCCGGCATCTGAGGCCATTGTTTATTTACTGCGCGAGTCTGCGCTCCCGTGAGCGTACCTGGGCTAGTCAACGAACCTAACCAAACTGAAGAAGACTATCGGGTTTTTTTATAAATCAGCATATTACCGATAAGTTTAATAAACAGGGCATCAACATGTAGGTATTAAGTGGTGGTTCACTACGCCTGCCCGCAAAGACAAATCGTCTCTTCACGGTACTGCCTAGTCCAGTTGGCTTGGAAGAAAAACGCCTATCATAGTATTGTTTCCGGTTTCATCCTTAAAACAATCCAGCGGAATTGTTTGGAAGTGTTCTTTTGGCACTTTTATTTTACGTCTGACCTAACATTTTTTTAACCTGATGAGAATAAATTATTGTTCATAAAATCGAGATTAGTAAAAACAAAAGGCTACTTTCATTAAAAAAAAACATTTGTTACCGGTTATCATTATTTTACTCCACCTTTTCTAGCAATTATAAAATTACAACAGATTCCATTTGCTCTATTTATAGAATTGATCTCTATTAGGTATATTTAAAAATGCTTGGTCAGTCAGTAGGAATCAAGCATACTTCAGTGAAGAATCAGACTGTCCTCTTGATTGATTATTGATTATTTGGATATTTTATTCATTCAGTTATCATCTTCTAGCATTTTTAGAATTTTAGAATTTAACAGTCATCTTTTTTTACTAATAACTCTCTCTCGCTCCCTGTCTTACCAAGCTAACATTATGAATCAATCCACCTCTTAAAGAAATTGTTTCGGTTAAAAATTTATGTGTTATGATTGATAAGCGCCTTAGGTGGGATTAACAAACGATGTATCTTTCTATGAAGATCGTGCCCTGTTTTCAAAGTTTATTCTAGATTGAAAAGATTATTAAACTATGGCATTTTGGTTTGGAAAGTGTTTATAGTCTCTTTTCAACAGGCACTGAAGGAATTAATAGTTTCAATGTTCGCACTAAATGACAAATTGGAGCAGCTGAGCATAATAAATATTATACGAGAGGTAATGCTATTAATCGATTTAACACCACATATTGAAGGGACAACATTTTGTTATCTACAAAAACGATCTGGTTCCAAAAAAAATCCTTAGCGCACTTTATTTGGGTAAATATTTATTTGGTTGTGGTATATACATATATTTATATATTTTGTTTGTGATCTAGTATCAATTTTTATCGAGATATCGTATGGGTTATTATTATCAAAATTAAAAAAAGAGTTTATAACTTTAAAAAAAATAGTCATTGTCTTATCTTGTTTGACTAAAAACTATTTTTAAAATGAAACGAAGAATGTCTCTCGCATACGAACGAATTTTCGGCCTTCGACCCAAATCAAAGCGGATTTTCCTCGTTTCGACCAGGCTAGCACGAAAACTTCTTAACCAGAGTACAAACCGTCTGAAGACTCGCATTAAAATCTCTTCATTTATTATTCATGCGGCGTCCGACTAATGTAATAGCGACAAAAAGTCACTCCGAGATAACACAGTCGAAGAGAAATTCGTTTTTGGTTTTTCAATTTATGAAATACGTCAGTCGACAGACGCCCGCGGTAAAAGTATTGAAACGGGATATTTTTAAAATAAAAGGGACAAATAAAAGAGCCCCTTTTCAGATTTCGTATTTTGACTAGAGCGGATGCTTTGAAGACGTACTAATTTAAGTATGACCTCTTACGCCGAAACTTCATTTTTAAAAATCGGAATCCTTCATATTCAGCATATTCAGCGTCGAGCATTAACAAACATGTCGGAATGTTAAGAAGGCGATTTGTTTCGGACACCGTTACCAATTCAAATATCTTCCTAGAAAAAGTCGACATGCAAACATATTTGACGGGAGTAATCCGATATGGTTCGTGAGGAATAGGTAAACATTCAGCACGCTTAATAGGTAATTCTATGGGATTTCTCAGATAACTATACAACTAAATGCGATATGTGTTATCTAAAACAAATTTGAGAGGTCGAGCAAATGTTCTCCGCTGATTCTGCCCTGCTTTATAATTTTGTCTTTTTCTATAAGTAAAAATCTATCAAAATTCGTTTTCTGAAGCGTAGTCATAGAATAACATGAATTTATTCAACCAGGTCGTGGCTCATGCGCAGATTATTCTGAGAAATAATCGAACCATCTCTTAGCAGAATATTCTGATGTCGAGCCTAGTTCGTTGGTTAGCAAGGATGAAGAATACAGTCAGTGTTCCATTTTAATTCTTGGAACATCACCGCAACTACATCGCTGAACATAAACATGATAGTAATGCTTCTTTTTCTAAATAGATATTGGTAGAAAGCCAATACTTAACACTAAGTATTCGCTAATTAATTCTCTCTTGCGGCTCTGGTCGCAGTAAACAAACCAGGCCGTAAGTATTTGCCATCTTTCAAGCGGTAAAGCATTGCTCGTAGCTCCGTTAACAGTTTTTGTAGTGAGTGGTTCTTATAAAATCACACAAGAACATCTTACGATGAAATTTAGGGTCCATTGTAATTGTAGAGGTTTTTTGTCGGCAAGTATATTGCTGTAGTTCTCCTTAAGTGTGCTAGAAAAGTTTAAACTACAAAAGTTTTACATCATTTAATGTTGAAGACTCAAATGAACCCACAAAGGCACTCAATCACGAACACCAAACGTCCTATTTTTTAAAGCAACATCAACAATACAACAACGCAATCATTGCAAATTTTACTTCACTTTACTTACTTACTTAGTTTACTACATTGAGTTACAAGATCACCAAGAGCCTATAATTCAACTTGATCATTAACGAGGGCCAAACGAGAAGTAATCTTTTTAGTTTAAAATATATACAAATGATTACCGAAATATACGCAGTTCAAATGGTTGCTTAGCTTTATAGTATAACAGCCCCATTTGCCTACTATATTTAGGGGCCTATGTAAGCAACAGTTAGGAAAGGTAATTCAAGTACAGGTAATTCAATAATATGTACGATGTAATGAAATTTCGTTAGGTAAGGAAGCGCTAAATAGTTTACAAACTATCGGCAAAGTTCAAGCAGATCGGCGATGGAGTGAATTTCTATAGTGTCTGTAATTTAATCAATGGCATCGTATGGCGTTAGGATAATCTCGAAATTTTATTATCTATACGAGCCAATTATATTTTCATTATAACCTTTTTTTGTTTATTGTTCTAATTAACAGATAACATTCGCTAGAATTTTGATTTAAGTACATTTATACTACAGCAAAGATATATTCGGATCGAGTTCTGCACTTAAAACTTTAATTGAACTTGCAAAATTATGATTAGATAATAGCATATTATGCAACAAGTGCGGTAAACGTCCTTCGACTCGCGAGTTATTTGACACGAGCGGAGCGAGTTTTTAATAAACGAGTGAGTTAAAAAGTTTACCCAACGTGTTGCATAGTATATTTTTTCTACGACCGTTAGTTTTTGGTTATATTTTCGCAAAAGAACACGAATACATTCACTGACGTGACCGTCAGAATTGACAAACGTCAAAATTGAAAGCGTGGGAAATATCTCCGAAAACATCCGATTGCCCCCAAATCCGTGCGGTAAAATCCCGGAAATGTCCGAAGTGGCTCGGATCTATGGGAAACGAAACTGACGTAGTGAAGTGACGCTTCCCGCACGCCAGATCGGTGGGTAATTAGGTATTTTACAGACGGGAGTAGAAGAACATATTTGATATGGAGTTTTTTTTTTATTTTCTATAAAAATAAAAAGTGTTTGACAAAACTTGCCAGTATTACCCTAATTCTTAGCTGTCGTGTTTTAGGACGAACCCTACAAAAACTTTTGAATTCAGAGTTGTTTACTTTACGAAAAAAAAATTTACTATTAAATGACATACTTGACAATATAGTGGTTATAAGGACAAAGAAATGATCCTTCGCGCATGCCCCTAAATTTGCAATTTGCGCCATTTTCCCTCTAAACAACAATCTCCACATACTTAAGTCGTTTTTCCCTGAACGAGATCTGGATATATTTTCGCGAAAAATGCTACATCCAGACTGAAAACTGTGGAATTGACGAACTGTCAACGACATGGTCTTCGATGAAAAGGAAATTCGAAATAGTTTTGTATATATTAAATGATTAATAGCATAGAAAAGGCCGCTATATATCTAGTAGCTATATGGGTACCACTAACAACTTTAAAATTAATTATTGACAACATACGAGAAGGCGTTTAATTGTGTAAAACTTTTTAAAAATTTGTCTTTTAAAATTAACATAAATATGACAGTTTAAAAAACTATTATTTCAAATGTTTGTCCGTAGCTATGAAATCGAACGATATAATGTTTTATGAGTATATTATCCTATCTTATTTATTCTATTATAACGCTACTTCATTTTATGTTGATTGTTAAAAGCTGAAAGGTATTACTGATTCATTTAAAATGAAACGCCTTATTATTATTATTATTATAAATTAGAATAGATCAACAATAAAAAACTAGTGGCCAAATATTACACGCGGCCCCATTTAGTGCTGTTGGACACGTTTTTGCACAGGGGCCTAATTTTCAATTGTACGGAGTATGTGCATTAATAAACTAATGTTCCAACAAAATGATTTTAAGTTGGCGCATGCAGTAAAACCAAATTTGCAGTAAATTTCAAGCAACCACTTATATTTTAACGTCGATTGCTGAAGTTTAAATAATATACACATATATATGTGAAAGAATAGGCAATTGGAGCTCTTCTGCTTTTTAGATAAAATACTGTTCCTGCAAGTCATTACATTCCGGATTAATTTTATGCTTAATCCAAATCCTAAATTAATTCAAAAAGAGTTTAGATTCCGTGTGAAGAAACCTATAGTTTTCACAAACGAAAATCTCAATTGGGAACGCTGACGAAAATAGTGAGACAGAAAAGCGTTACTTATTTAAAAAGGGAGCCGTTAAATTGTTCTTCCGGCTGAAATTACTTCGTCTCTGCCCCCCAACCGCTTCGAACCCCGTGGGGCGTAAGCGAAACTGTAAAGTGCACCTCGTAACCTCGGATAAGGTGAAGAGGTTCAGCAGATACCTACTTGAGCG